TGTTCAGGAATTGCAAAAAGTATGCTTCAGAATTTTCGTGGAATTCCACTTTAAGATTTGATGAAATTCTCATACTCCATGGAATTAATTTCAGAAATACTTTGGATACACCTTAAATAAAATTTGGATTTTTTTTTTCAGGCCTCATAATTCTCCTGAAATTATAAAATTTCTCTTCCTAATTCTTTTAAAATTCTCATGTTTTGATATCCCGTTGAATTTCTCCTCAGAATTCAATTGGAATGCTCTCAGAATTCAGTTGGAATTATTCTCACATTTGCATAGTTATCATATTTAAGTAATCTTTTGAGTTTTCTTCTCACCTTGGAATACTAGTAAAAATTAAATTGAAGCTCTTCTCATTTGAATTCTTCTCAAAAATCCCTTGGAAATCTCATGAGAATTTACCATTGAAGGCCTCAAAATTACCTTGCAAGCATTCCACAGATTTTTCTTGAAGTTCTCCTAACAACTAAAATGGAATTCCATTTTGAACTCTCTTAGGATACTCCTTAGAATTCCCTTTAAGTTCGCCTCAAAATTCCAGAACGATTAATATTTTCTTCAAGCCCATCGACATTGAAAATTTTCTGAGATCCATTATATCTGGGATCTTGGAAAACATTTCAAGATCTGAAATCTGAATCTTCGTTCCGGAATCTTGAAAATTTCTTGGATTATTGTGCTAGGTCTTAGAATTGAAAATTTTCTTCATCCCTATAAAATTTTCTTTTTTTTCAGAATCTGAGGAATCTTTGATTTTGAAATTTGCAATCTCACTGTCTTAAGGATTGTTCAATCCATCAAATCTTAGAAATTTGTCTTGGATCTCGATTAATTCAATTCGAAAATGTCTAAAACAATTTCAAACTTTATTCAATTTGTTTGCAAAATTCGTGTTTATGATACCTATTTAACCTTCTTAGTACATAAGGGTCTTTTGTTGACCCAGCGTCACTTAAAAAACTGTAACTTTGTAACGAAATATGATATAGGCCTGAAATTTCCTGACTTTTCCCAACATTCAGAAAAGCAAATTTTGCTGTCAAAAAAACTTTCAGCGACCTATAGGAGTGACACTACAAAAAAGTGACCACTGGTGCATTAGCGGGTCAAAACAGACGCAGACTGCAGCTGGCTCCCAAAAATCAATTTTGGAATCGATTCTTGATCTATTGGGCTCAAATGAAAGATGAAGATTCCTAAGACGGCAGCTTGCCCGGGATTTATTCAATTTGGCCATTTAGGTTACCTGGCATTGGTTTCGATATGGCACTTAAGGACACTTCCAAAACCTCATGTGGTACCGTCCGACTGCTCAAAATTTATGATTTTTTATTCAAGTAAATTTACATCGTGTCATGGCCGAAAGGCCATATCTAGATACCTGAAAGCCGTTCTGGTAGGGCCCCAAAAAGGTTACTTCCAAAACCTCATGTACTGGAACCGTCCGATGGCTCAACATTTATGATTTTTCATCGAGAAGTAAATAGACATCATGCTATGGACCAACAGGTGGATCTGGCCACATCTGCATACCTGGAACCAGTTTCGAGGGGGCCCAAAAATGACACTTTCTAAGCCTAGTGTAATGGAAACGTCCGATGGCTCAACATTTATTATTTTTCATCCAGAAGTAAATGGACATCATGCCATGGACCATGCTAAAGTAAGAAATTAATGACACACGCATAAACAGCTGCAACTTTTAAACCACGTTACCGAATGACTTGAAATTTTAAGTGATGATTCTTTACTCCATACTGCATACGTGTAAGTTTTACAGCGGTCTATGAGATTTTTACTCTATGTTACAGTAGAGTGAACAGACATCTCTAAAAAAAATTGTCTCAGGAATTCAGTAATTTTTATCGCATTTCAAAGTTTTATGATCTGTAAATAAGTTGACAAAAGAATAGGTCAAATAAGCCAAATTAGCTAAAGGTACTTTTTTGCAGCTGGACAAAATGTCAGAGATAAATTTTTGTTTTCCTGATTGAAAGACAGGTATAAGTTTGACGTTGAATGTTTTCTGTAAGTTAAAAAATTTGTTTAGAATCTTCTCTGAAAAATTCAAGTCATTTGCTATCGTGGTTAAAAAGTTACTGCTGATTATGTGTGTGGCATTAATTTCGTGATCATCCTTTACTTTATGACATTGAAAATAATAGCTATTTAAAATATGAATTAAAAATATGGAAATAGGGGTAAACAGGCTAAACAGACTTTTTTTTTCTTTGATTTGTGTGGTAATAGTAGTCTTCACTGTAGTGAACAAGCAACTTTCATATTTTTTGTTTAATGTAAATGCATCATACATTTAGAGTTCCACGCCAAATGACGAATTGGAAGAACTCAACCATCTCCGGATTGCATGAAACTTTGCATAATTGTGTGTAATAGGAAATAATCCACATTTTTGCAAAAAATCGGCCATCTTGGAAACTCAAATATCTCAAAAAGTACATTTTCAAAGATGGTGAAAAAGTGTTAACTTTTGGAACATTTAAAAGCTTTGTATTAGACGTCATTTCGATTAGAAGTGACGTTTTCCTGCTACAATTTATTAAAAAATGTCAAAGATGCCATCTTGAAAAAAAATTTAGATCCAAAATGGCCAAATTTCTACAAAAGTGTGAATTATTGCTATTAACAAAGTTTGATACAAATAGGAGAAAGTCGTGCCAAAAATAATTCAATTTTTTGCTATTTGGCCTGGAACTGTTCTAAGATATATTTTCACAACTGTATACAAAATCTGCTCCTGTTATGATTTAATATAGATTCAGTTATTTTTCATACGCAAGTGAAAGAGAATTTAACACTCCCTGGTACGTATGCTTCTCTTTGAATCATTTAAATTTGACATTTTTTAAATTAACATCAACCAGATGATTCCTAATAGCTTATTTGAAAATCATGACACCAATTGTCAAATAATCCAATGTAGCTTTTGATAATCTCTTCACCACAATTAATCGGTGGCACATAAATTTTCATTTCGTTGATTTATTTTAAAATTATCCAACCATGAAGAAAAAAAAAATTGCCAAACTGAAACCTACTACTATTATTTTGGAAAGTTGACAACTTCCCCTTCAATTTTTAAACTTCTAGTCAAAGGAACCGGCAAAAGGTAGCTCAATCATCCCTTCTCCAGCCAATCTTTAACCACATTTCAGAAATTTGCCCAGAAAATTAATTCCATTGTCGCTGGGAATTTGCCGTAAATCAGCTTAATCCATTACATATTTGTGTCATTCACCGAAACAGCTCAAGTGCTGCTTTTTCCCTAAAGACGACCGCCAACTGACCGAACGGTCACTCTCGAAAAGCGTGTATACTACCGATGCTGGCTTCATAAAACCCACATCAGGACACGTTGTCGTAAATATTGTACACAAAATCCCTTTCGAGAGCCTTATTTGTCAGCTTTTTTCCACGTTTCTATCATCCGTGTATGCAGCCGCATCGTTCGCTCGCTCGGGGACCAAATAATAGTCCTTGTATAAATAAATGGCTGTTGGTCTTTTTCGCCTTCGCTCCGGCTGCGGGACTACATGCACTCACCAGTAGCCCTACATCACCGGGTCCAGTGAAACTGCATTGGAACTGCATTCGGAGGCAGTGGGAAAGTGCAACCCGTATATTCTTCTCAACACGGCCGGTGAGAGTAACTCAGTGACTGAGTCGACTCCGACTCAATGGTGCAAAAAGTGGGGACAGTCAAAATGTTCCTCGAATTTCCAAGAAAAAAGCGAGTAAAATTGTTTAGATTTTCCTCAATATCAAGCAGTATCTCCTATAAAAAAAACTGAAGAACACTCTACTCATTCACTGAGTAACCACACTTTCTGAAAGGTCGAGTCGAATTCGACTCAGTTACTGACTTACTCTCATTGGCCGTGTAGAGCGGTTCTCCATTTTATTTCCGAGCTCGTGCCTGGGAAGAAAATATAGTCTGCGGTAAAAGCTCGGAATCGGAACTGGAGAGCCGTTTTTCCCTTTTTATATTGGACTCCGCAAAAAAAAAAACACAATCCAGCAACATGCTAATGGTTGCACACGTAAGAAATTCCAAATTCAAACAAACGATGCAAACATTCCCGGAGGCAAATAAACACCATCTCAGATTCCTTTCGGTTAACCAACGTTTCCTCGATGTTGGCGTGGAACGATGCACAGTCTTCCAATGATAAAGTTTGATTAAAATGTATACTCCCACATGTTCCATCGTTTCAACCTGAAGGTGGTGCTCTGGTTTGGGTTCCTTTGCTAAGCTTAAGATTACCATCGTGTATGAAAAAATCACGGAAACACCAGAAATCGGCACGTTCCTTGGATGGATGCTGCTGCTATCTGGTGCATATGTGAAAAACATGGATGGTGGATTTTTTACGCTATTCCTGGAATTTATTCTATCCTACGGTTTATGGATTTTTGATTTCTCGCGTTGTGATTTTACATTTCAATAAATTTCATTCAAAGCATATTTTAAATGTATTCGTAAAGAAGTGCATTTTCGCTGGAGAAGTGAAGTTGAGAGGAAATTACTCAACTCAGCCCAAAAGCAATTTCTAGATAAATGATTTTTTTTTCTTGTGTGGCATAGTGCAAACAATGAAAGTTTTCCAGGCAGTCAGTGGAAGGAACCGTGTATATATTTAATGTTCAATAATATTTATCAAAAGGAAAGCAAAAGTAAAGTTAACAGGATTTAAATCTAATTGTCGTCCTATACTAGGCACAACCAGTACAATACTTTCTTTGAACAGATTTTAACAAAAAAGGCAATGCTTCTACTAAAGACTTCTTATTCACTCGACTTTCCATGTGTAACAATTGATTTGATAGAGAATAAACAAACTGTAAAATTATTTAAAAAAATTGACGTATTATTGATTTGTTCACGTTGAAGTCTTAAATAATCGTAGCGCTTTTCTCGTGCCTATTATTGATCATCATCGAAACAGAAAAAAAAACAAAAACTCTCCACTTACCACGTCAATAATTTGCATCAACGTCAGTCCGAAACTGAGCTGCAGCGGATCGGATTCGTTGACCACCGGCCGCTCCAGGGTGTTGTAGGGATCCAGCAGGTCATGCAGCAATTTCTTCTCGTTGTATCCGGCCAGACACACTGTCAGAGTAAAAGGAAACAAGAATACGACACATGTTATCTGGTGATGATGATCGCCAAAAATTGGACACACAACAAAAGTGACAAATGCAAAGAACTTTGTGATCCGCAGAACAAACGGACCCTCGTGTGGTGACGCTTTCTTATCTTTAATCGAAATCATCCCAGCCCCTTCGTAGTGATACTTTACTCCCCCCGCCCCCATCCACCTTCTTGGAAGGAGAGCGGAAAGTGTGAAAGAGTCACTCGGGCGGAAATGTCCACACGCCATTGCCGTTTCCGCAGCAGGCCCTTCAAAACGATGGTTATTACCATTATTGTGCACATAATGGACGAACCCCGACACCGGTGACAACTCGGGCTGGTTCTACCCGGTCCTTGTAGAGCAGTTGCTGGTTGATATTGTGGAAGGTCAAATTGGAGGTAGGTGTGTACGTTGGAAGATGCAAGAATTACCCATTGGGAGGGCAATTGGAAATTGATACCAGTATTTCTGGCACGTCTCAAGGATGAGTGGCTATGGGGAGGTGTGTGTGTGTGTGTATATGTTTGCAGCTAGGTGAGCCTGGGAATTGGAGTATGTAACGCAAAATTTAATAAGCCTCGACGGTCAGCCGTAAAACCAGAGCCATTGAACGGGTCAAGTCTTCCGGTGGCCATAGGCCAGAGGGGCGTTGGCTACGTGCGAAATAATGTTAATTAACTGACAGTGATGTGTAATCGATAGGCCTTTCATTGGTATCTGGTTGCTGATGCTGACCGGAGTTAGGAAATTACGTGGGAACTTCTATCATAGTCATTGCTGTCAGCTTCAATTTAGGGGAGTTTTCACTTCTGGAATGAGTAATCAAAAGTATTGGAATATTACTGTTACAGACTGGATTATTTTAGGCCATGAAAAGATCAAGACAAAAAGCCGTTGGGTAGCCCTTGTTTGCAAAACAAGAGTATGTTGGTTCAATTACTAGGATGTATATATGTGCTCACATATTTAATCTTAAAACTGTTTCATACAATTGCAATGGACGATTTTCGAAATTGTGGTCTACCAAACCCACCTCAAGTGTTCACTCGGCTGTCGACAAAAGCAGGCCACTCTCGATGTGTGCCACGCGATCGTCTGTTTTCTCGGCAGCAACCATTGTGTGGTCTTCCCTATTGTTCTTCATCAGCAGTTCTTTCGGTCGATGCGTCGTCGACTTTGGAAAGCAAACGTTTCGTGATGAGTGTGTGTTGACCACGTTTTGCGTCCATTGCTGCAATGGAAGCGCTTTGCCCCACGATGGCGTAACTGCCATACAATGAAACCACTGGAAGTGACTCCAGTTCTGATGGAGGAGGCTTTTTGGATAGCGGAAGATAGAGTATTTATTGTGTTGTACCTTTTGACTATAGTTTTAAGATTTATTGTATAGTGACCAAGAATCCTCGGCTCTGTAAAGTTAATTCGTTTGAGCCTTATCAAATAAATTAATAAACAACAACAAACCCACCTCAATTCCCACTTCCCGCAAATCAATGGTCTTAAGGCTCAGAGTCATCCGATGTGTCTGAATGCCCCTCAAAGTATTTCAGAGTTATACTACCAGTTAAAAATAGTCCTTTAGATCATTCTAATGGGCTAAAGGGTGGAACAAGCTAAATGTAGTCATCTCAAATTTTGTGCATTTAAAAATATGGTTAACATTGATTTTCAAAGGTGTGTGCATCATGTTTAGATTTGGAATTTTTCATTTAGTTTTTGATATATAGTTACTAAACAAGACAACAAGAATTTTAAAATTCTGCAAGCGCTCTCCTTAAATTCAAATCTTACAATGTAAAAGTTAATTTTAAACAGCTTCCGGCTCAATAATTTTTTGCTGCAAACGAAAGAGATTTGTTTTTCATTGGCGTTACTACGGGTCTATAGCCCTCCTAAAATTAATGTAGCTCCCTCTAGTTACTAAAATAACATATTTTTCTTAAGCATCTAAATCGTTCGCTAATTGCTTAATTGACAAGTTCGAATAATACATATAGCTCCCCCCCCCCCTCTTCTCCCTAGTTACGATCCCGAGTAGATCGACGGATGACCAAATATTCATAGCAAAGTGAGTGACTGAAGAACGATGGAATGAAGGAAAAATTACTTTTGAAGCCAGATAAAAATCCAGCTGAAGCTTCTAGCTACCGTCCAATAAGTTTGCTTTCTTCAATAAGTAAACTTTTTGAAAAGATAATTTTAAATAGAATGATGCTTCACATCAATACGAACTCAATTTTTGCAGATGAGCAGTTTGGATTTCGACATGGGCATTCAACTACTCATCAACTCTTAAGAGTTACCAATTTAATTCGTACAAACAAATCTGAAGTTGCTCTTCTAGACATAGAAAAAGCATTCGACAGTGTTTGGCATGAAGGTTTGATTGCTAAATTGAAAAAAGTTTAATTTTCCACTTTATATTATGAAATTAGTTCAAAATTATTTAACTGACAGAACTCTGCAGGTAAATTATCAAAATTCCAAATCTAATAGATTACCTGTTAGATCAGGAGTTCCTCAGGGTAGCATTCTTGGGCCTATATTGTATAACATTTTCACTTCGGACCTCCCTGATTTGCCTCAGGGTTGCCACAAATCTTTGTTCGCTGATGACATAGGCATTTCCGCTAAAGGAAGAAAGATGTGGAATCGTGTTATTTGCAGCAGACTGCAGAAAAGTTTAGATATTTTCTCTTCTTATTTACAAAAATGGAAAATTTCTCCTAACGCTTCCAAAACTCAACTTATAATATTTCCACATAAGCCTAGAGCTTCCTTTATTATTTTATTTATTATCATATATTGCATTTCACTATATATTTCATAAACATTAAATTTTTAACTTTAATATTCAAATGTATTCTTTAAATTAATGCTGTTTTTAACACCGGCTGAAAGATGTAGCGGCAGCATATCTATTGGAGCTCTTCGAAATCATCGTGATGTCATGGATTCCTTTGCAACATATCGGATGAGATCTTTCCTTTATTTTTCTCGTAATCCTATTTTTTTGTTAGTCATGTTAATTATACATCACGTGTAAAGTGTTACATCCTTACATTATTAGTAATTAGAGATAAAAATATATATTTGCTTAATATAACCTTAAAATTTTAGTGTTACATCCACTTGATATTGTGAGCTGAGGAAACATAGAGCTGCATCTTATTATATGTAAAATAATTATTATTTTCATTGCAGAATATCAACTATTTAATCTATATAAATTTATATTCATTTTATTTCATATTTAATGGTTTGATATATTTCATTTTTCCACAACATATATTTTCATTGTATAAATAAATACTAGCATCAGGGTATCATTTGACCTGGGACTGGACGATGGAGTGGTATGACAACCGGAGTCTAGGAGGGAATAAACACTATCATTTTCTTTATCCTACCGATTCGATTGTGGTGGTGTGAATTCTACTTCAACAGTTTCAGTGAGATTGACGCGCCCTTCTTTACAAACCATCCTGTAGGAAGCTTAATAAGTATTGCGAATTGTGTTATTCGATTTGTTGGATCGTATCGTTGGAAGGAGATTCTTAAATTCCCGTGGATTTCGTGTAAGTGTCTCTGCTTACGGGTCCGCACCTCCGTTTTTGGCCCTTCATACAGCGATATTGTGAATTCAGATCGGTAGCTCAAATTGATCTTGCTATTAAGTGGAGCTGCATACAAGACAAGGGATGGTGGCTACCTTACATACATACATACACATAAGCCTAGAGCTTCCTTTTTGAAACCTAGTAGTAGTCACATAGTCACTATGAACGGAGTTCCAATTTCCTGGTCAAACCAAGTGAAATATCTTGGATTAATACTTGACCAAAAATTAACTTTTAAAGATCACATTGAGGGCATTCAAGCCAAATGTAACAAATATATCAAATGTTTGTATCCTCTTATAAACAGAAAATCCAAACTTTGCCTGACGAATAAACTTCTAATATTTAAACAAGTTTTTAGACCGGCCATGCTTTACGCTGTGCCAATATGGTCTAGTTGTTGCACTACCAGGAAAAAAGCACTTCACTGGATTCAGAACAAAGTTCTGAAGATGATTTTGAAGTTGCCTCCCTGGTACAGTACTGCTGAGTTACATAGAATTTTGAATGTTGAGACTTTAGAACAAATGTCCAACAAAATAATTATTAATTTCAGGCAAAAATCGTTGCAATCCTCAATTGCAACGATTAATTCCCTTTATACTTAGATAAGATTTAGTTTTAGATTTTAGTTTTAAGGTATCAATTGTTATACTGACATGCAGGTTTAAAAAACCTGTTTAAAATACTGAATTGCCAAGACAGGAACAATGTAAAAACACTTAGCTATATATCATAACAACTAAGGCTGGTAAGTTACTGTAGTAACTGGAGCACCTAGGTTAAAATGAAATGTAATTTATTTTGAATTTGAAACAAATGAAGAGTTAAAAAAAAAATTACTATCGTAGCACCCGAGCAATGTCTGAGATCAAATTGAAATCTAAATTTGATGTTGTGATTTCGCTGATAATGATTGCTCAGGTTGCTGTCGTTATGGTCGTTTTAACGGTGAAAATATGAAAATTGAGAGCAAACATATCTTCCTGTGACATCACATTGAAAACTATTTCTGCTATCAATGAGAGCAAACTGAAAACTAAATTTGATATCCGTTTTTCCTGTTGATAACAAAACGATTATTCAATTTGATGTTATGCTAAGGCAATGAAAAAAAAACCCGCAACATCATATTTTTGAAGAACAAAAATATGAAAACAAAATTTTGTATCAAATTTACCAATTTCATAAACTGAAATCAAATTAGGATTTCAGTTTGATGTTGATATCAAAACTTGATTTCAATTTGCTGTCATTTTGATGCTGGACTTTGCTCGGGTAGATATCAAATGTATTAATAGGATTTTGCAAAACTTGAAGGTTCCTCATCATCTTATCTAAAGGGTTTGTAATAC